GAGAATTTTAGACCAATACCCTGATGAACATCGATGCGAAAATCCTCCATAAAATACTGGCAAAACGAATCCAGCAGCACATCAAAAAGCTTATCCACCACGATCAAGTAGGCTTCATCCCTGAGATGCAAGGCTGGTTCAACATACACGAATCAATAAACGGAATCCATCACATAAACAGAACCAATGACAAAAACCACATGATTATCTCAATAGATGCAGAAAAGACCTTTGACAAAATTCAACAGCCCTTCATGCTAAAAACTCTCAATAAACTAGGTACTGATGGAACGTATCTCAAAATAATAAGAGCTATTTCTTACAAACCCACAGCCAATATCATACTAAATGTGCAAAAACTGGAAGCATTCCCTTTGAAAACTGGCACAAGACAGGGATGCCCTCTCTCACCACTCCTATTCAACATAGTGTTGGAAGTTCTGGCCAGGGCAATCAGGCAAGAGAAAGAAATAAAGGGTATTCAACTAGGGAAAGAGGAAATCAAATTGTCCCTGTTTGCAGATGACATGATTGTATATTTAGAAAACCCCATCGTCTCAGCCCCAAATCTCCTTAAGCTGATAAGCAACTTCAGCAAAGTCTCAGGATACAAAATAAATGTGCAAAAATCACAAGCATTCCTATACACAAATAACAGACAATCAGACAGCCAAACCATCAGTGAACTCCCATTCACAATTGCTACAAAGAGAATAAAATACCTAGGAATCCAACTTACAAGGGATGTGAAGGACCTCTTCAAGGAGAACTACAAACCACTGCTCAATGAAACAAAAGAGGACACAAACAAATGGAAGAATATTCCATGTTCATGGACAGGAAGAATCAATATCATGAAAATGGCCATACTGCCCAAGGTAATTTACAGATTCAATGACATCCCCATCAAGCTACCAATGACTTTCTTCACAGAATTGGAAAAAACTACTTTAAAGTTCATATGGAACCAAAAAAGAGCCCACATTGCCAAGACAATCCTAAGCCAAACGAACAAAGCTGGGGGCATCATGCTACCTGACTTCAAACTATACTACAAGGCTACAGTAACCAAAACAGCATGGTACTAGTACCAAAACAGAGATATAGACCAATGGAACAGAACAGAGGCCTCAGAAAGAACACCACACATCTACAACCATCTGACCTTTGACAAACCTGACAAAAACAAGACATGGGGAAAGGATTCCCTTTTTAATAAATGGTGCTGGGAAAATTGGCTGGCCATATGTAGAAAGCTGAAACTGGATCCCTTCCTTACACCTTATACAAAAATTAATTCAAGATGGATTAAGGACTTAAATGTTAGACCTAAAACCTTTTACCTTAGAAGATAACCTAGGCAATACCATTCAGGACATAGGCATGGGAAAGGACTTCATGACTAAAACCCCAAAAGCAATGGCAACAAAAGACAAAATAGACAAATGGAATCTAATTAAACTAAAGAGTTTCTGCACAGCAAAATAAACTACCATCAAAGTGAACAGGTAACCTACAGAATGGGAGAAAATCTTTGCAATCTACCCATCTGACAAAGGGCTAATATCCAGAATCTACAAAGAACTTAAACATATTTACAAGAAAAAAACAAACAACCCTATCAAAAAGTGGGTGAAGGATATGAACAGACACTTCTCAAAAGAAGACATCTGTGCAGTCAACAGACACATGAAAAAATGCTCATCATCACTGGTCATCAGAGAAATGCAACTCAAAACCACAATGAGATACCATCTCACACCAGTTAGAATGGCGATCATTAAAAAGTCAGGAAACAACAGGTGCTAGAGAGGATGTGGAGAAATAGGAACGCTTTTACACTGTTGGTGGGAGTGTAAACTAGTTCAACCATTTTGAAAGACAGTGTGGCGATTCCTCAAGGATCTAGAACTAGAAATACCATTTGACCCAGACATCCCATTACTGGGTATATGTTTATTGTGGCACTATTCACAATAGCAAAAACATGGAACCAACCCACATGTCTATCAATGATAGACTGGATTAAGAAAATGTGGCAAATACTCACCATGGAATACTATGCAGCCATAAAAAAGGATGAGTTCATGTCCTTTGTAGCGACATGGATGAAGCTGGAAACCATCATTCTAAGCAGACTGTCACAAGGACAGAAAACCAAACACCGCATGTTCTCACTCACAGGTGGGAATTGAATAATGAGAACACTTGGACACAGTGTGGGGAACATCACACACAGGGGCCTATTTTGCGGTGGGGGAGATGGGAGAGGGACAGCATTAGGATAAATACCTAATGTAAATGATGAGTTAATGGGTGCAGCACACCAACATGGCGCATGTATACCTATGTAACAAATCTGCACGTTGTGCACATGTACCCTAGAACTTAAAGTAGAATTTTTTAAAAAAATAAAGAATATAGGTTTTGCATATTTATCACCTAAAAAAAAATAGTGAGTCGAGTCAGAATTGGCATACGAGCCATAGTTTCTCACTTCTGCTTTAGAGGGACATTAATTTTGTAAGACTGTGAGAGATTTCATTCTGCTTTCATCAGATTCTTGAAGAGGTCTATGACACCAAATTTCTAAATTTGTGATTCCCAAAATAACAATTTTCTCCATTAATGTACATGAGATGGTAGAGAACCACCAAACTCATATTCAGAGCCACAACATATAGTTGGACAGTACACCCTATCTCTTCTGTATGGTGATAAGTGGTAGCCATGGCTAGGCTCACTAGGTAAGTGACTTGCTCCTTAAGTATGCTCAGTGAAAATCTGTTTCTCATCAAAATGGCTAATTACTCTAGGCAAATGATAATAATGATATATTTTAATACCCACTGATACCCTTTAGTATGTCCCTGGCATTGTAGTTAGTGCTTTACATGCAATATCTCATGTAATCCTCACAACCATGTGAGAACGGTTATTGTCCCTTTTTTGTTGGATGAGGAGACTGTGGCTTGAACTGTTTGATAACCTGTCCCAGGTAACAGAACTAGTAAATGCTGGATCTGGGATTTTGGTTCAAGTGTTATTCTATAACCTGTGCTCACAATCACTACTGTTTCCCATGGTGAAAAAAAACTGTTTTATTCTACATATGAAACGTGGAAATGGTGAATCCCAAGGTTATACTGTATAATAAACTCCAAATGATATATTTTTATGTACTGGGTGTTGGTATGCCCCAAAAATTCATATGTTGAGACCCTATCTCCCCCATTGTGATGGTATTAGGAGGTGGGGAGCTTTGGGAAGTGATTAGAATTAGAGGAGGTGATGACGGTGGAACGTTCGTGAATGGGATCAGTAGTGCCCTTATGAATCTTGAGAGAACTTGCTTCCCTCTGCTCTCTGCCATGTGAGAACACAATGAAAAGTAGGCTGTCTACAAGCCAGAAAAGGGCCTTCACCAGAACCTGACCATGTTGGCACCCTGATCTCAGAATTTCAGTCTCTAAAACTGTAAGAAATAAATATCTGTTGTTTATAAGTCACCCAGTCTATGGTATTTTTTACAGCAGCTCAAACTGACCAAGACATATATGATAAGAATGAGTAGCACTGGCGTCTCTTTCTCCCTCTGCATCATCTCGATAGAATGCTTTTCATATACCACGTCACCCAAGACAGGCAAATAAAGCGTTCCAGAATCTAGATGTGTGAACAAAAAGACATTAGCTTTGGAAGGTTTTGGTCCCACTGTTAAGGTGTAGTATGTTTCATCTTCATAAAGATACTTTGGAATTAACAGGCATTTGGAAAAATGACCATACATTATATTCTTGTGAGAATATGGTCACCTGCAGATTAGTCAGAGAGTCTAAAAACTGTAAAACTTGTCTTGATTAGTTAGGAGAGAAGACAGAGGAAAATAGTAAAACTCAAATCAGGTTTGTTATTCAATGACAGTTTTTATGAAGATTAAGTGAGAGGAGGGGGCTGAAATTAGAGACTAAATTCCGGTTTTAAATTAGATAACCTATACACAATGGAAAGAGCTTAGACTCTGATGTCAAGAAGATCTAGGCCATAAACACAACTCTGCTACTCACAAGCTATATGATTTGGGGCAAGTTATTTTAGCTCCCTGAGTCTCAGTCTCTTCATCATAAAATGGGAATAATTACCGATCCAGCAGAGGTTTTTGTTTTGTTTTGTGGGTAAGGGCTGAATAACATAATATACTTCTAGCTCTCTGCATCACAGTATGTGTTTGATACAGGGTGGATATTATTATTCCCCAACCTCTGAGTTAGTCACCTTTCCTTTGCAATAAGACAACGGGTTTTACAATTCACATTGTACATATAGATAAACCTATGCAAATCCATAAGAATACATTGTCAAAATGGTATTAAACACTCTGTCACCTTCTTTGTGATCACAGTAAAATCATGGCAGTATTTGTTTAGAAAGTATAATTGTCACTGTTTGGTTTCACAAAGTATTTATTGCCAGTATGGAATACCAGCAACATTATAAGTATTATAATTGATGATATTTCTACTATTTGATGCTGAAAGTTCTTTTGGTGCCTAAACTTAATAAAACTAAACTTAATAAAAATAAAACAGTCTTAAGATTGACAGGGAGACTGATAGGTAAATAGCACAAAAAATGGAAGCTGACATTTCTTTATGTAGGTGTGACTCATCCCTTTAAAATTACAGAATCTAGAAAGGCCCATTTCCCCCACCTGATAAAATAGCTCAAATTTATAAAGTTATATTAAATGCTTCACCCAATCAACGTGTTGGTGCTACTCTATATACTCACATACAAAGATCTATATTATGAACTATGTGGTAATTTAAAGCCATTGCAGGTACCTAAGTACCTCATAACCTAAAAAGAAACACAAACCGCAGATTGAAAAAGACAAAATATTTATGGGGAGAACACATCTTAGTTCAAACCACTAATGATAATGCAATCAAATTATTTAAGAAAAGAATGAAAACAAAATTAACTTATACCCAACAAACCTGAAGTGGATTCTGATTTGGTCTTCGCTTCAGAGCTGAGTTCTGTTGGCAAGGGCACTGAGTGTTTCAAGACGTCAGTTGTTTTTGCAGGTACTTCTATTTCGACAGAGGATCCTAGCTGTTTACCAAACAGATTTTTCCTTCATAAGTAAATCATTTTACTAATTCCTTCATCTACTTTCTCATTTTATCCTCGACCTCTGTCCAGTACCCTCATTACAAGCCAACACCCACCCAAACAAAACTCAATGTTGACCGCCTTGCTCCATGTAAACTCTACCTTAGTTTTTTCTTTATGTTTAGGGAGTGACTCTTCTTTGCTGCTTTTTTTCCACAGTGATTTAACTGCTCCAAAAATTTGCTGGCTTGTAGCATATATCTTTTTCCCTGTTACCTAATTAAAACAAAAAGTAAGTCAAATAACATATTTTTAAAAGTTAAAATTAAAAATGTATTTTAGATTTGTCAGGTAATTTTTTTTTTTTTTTTTTTTTTTGAGACGGAGTCTCGCTCTGTCGCCCAGGCTGGAGTGCAGTGGCGCGATCTCGGCTCACTGCAAGCTCCGCCTCCCGGGTTCACGCCATTCTCCTGCCTCAGCCTCCCGAGTAGCTGGGACTACAGGCGCCCACAACCGCGCCCGGCTAATTTTTTGTATTTTTAGTAGAGACGGGGTTTCACCGTGGTCTCGATCTCCTGACCTTGTGATCCGCCCGCCTCGGCCTTTGTCAGGTATTTTATGTGAACACTCAGATCAGAATCAATAAAGATATAAATCTCTAAATCATATAACACAAAGCACCATTTCTAAAATTTTATATGAAAAAATTGTTGTGTCACGCAAAGGGTTATAATGTATAATCTGCATTCACACTGTAACATATAAATTTGAAACTATGTCTTTTTAAAAATTTTTTTCAGCTTTAGTGAGATTAGACTGACATATATAAAATTGTATCTATTTAAGGTATATAACATGGTGATTTGATGTAAGTGAAAACTGTATTAACAGAAGTTTGGGGAATATAGTTCGAGATAATGAACTGCTGACTGAGAAAATGAGATTTTTAGCATGCTACAAAGTTAATGCTTTTGCTTAAAATTTAATGGTGCTTTCTCCATTCATAAAGAAATAAAAAGCATCAACTAATTCCTCCAAAGAATAATATTCTTTTGTGGTAGAAAGGTAAAATAAACAATGACTGATAAATACACTCAAGAAGAGAATGGGATGCTGGCTGAATTCCTACAGTTACTGTTATTTTCATTCATCTCTATTTCTCTTTGAAAATCTACTTCTGATTTCTTCTTTTTCCTATTCTTCTCCAATCCTTTTGTTTATTATAGTTAAAGTAATTTCAATAGCCATTGATTTTTCAAGTTTTGAAGATGTTTTGAGGGGTTTTCCAGGATTACAATTTCTACAAACATAAATTTTTTAAAAATTATGTTTCCATCCTCAAATAGAAATATTTATTGTTTTTACTAAGTATATCTCTATACTTGAAAAGTTAAGTAATAAACTGATATAAAGAAATTCCTCCTCCTCCTCAAATATAACCTTGGTTAACAGTTATACATATATTCTTCCTGAATTTTTACTCATACATACATTATACATACACAGAATTTAAAACAAATGTAATGTTAATATTTATAGATCTTTCAAAAAAGATGAGGTAGATCTATATGTACTGGCATGAATGGAAGTCCATGATGAACCACTAATTTGAAGAAGTTACAGAATAGATTACATAATACAATCTCAATTAATTTTTCAATTAAATTTTAAAATAAATTACACATGTATTTAGTTTGTTTTCCTTTTCAAATACTTGGGATCACAGTAAACATGTTATTCTGAGATATTATTTTTTTAAAAGCTTGACAATATTTCAAAGGCATGGTTCTATATTACTTTATATGCCATAGGTCTACTTTTTAAATTTGCTTCTTAGTTTAGTATTCTATAATGGATGCAACACAATTTGTTGAACAAATTCCCTATTGAGGCACAATGATTTAACAAATCCCCTATTGGTGAGCATATGGACTGTTTTCCTTTTTGTGGGTAGGTAGATGGCAAGAATAAGCAATGATGAAATTAGTATCCTTATACATACAACTGGGACCATAACCCTTATAGTATTTCCTCAAAATAAATTCCTAGAGCTGAAATTTCTGCACTGAAGAGTACACACATTTTAATTTGACAGTATTACCATGTTGCTCTCCAGAAAGTCAGCAATATACTGCAGCAATTTACATTCCCACCAAGAGTATATATCTGTTTTCCTACCCTATTTACCAGCAGTGATATTATAAGTCTTTTAAATCTTTGTCAAATTTAAAGGCTAAAAACCAATATCTAAATGATTTTTCAAATTTGCATTTATTTGTTGATGAAATCAAGTATCTCACGTACATTAGGCCATTTTTGTTTCTTATTTTGTGGACTGCTTGTTCAGGTATTTTTTCATTTTCCCAGAGGGCACATTCATCTTTTGCTCATTGATTTATAGGAGTTCTTAATACATGAAGGATATTAGTGCTTTGTCACATATGTTACAAATAGTTTTCCTAGTTTTTCATGTATCCATTAACATTGTGTATGGTAATATTGTAATCTACAGAAATGTATTAATTTTGATGTTGTCAAATATGTCAACTTTTTCTTTGATGGCTTCTAGATTGTAATTTGCTTAAGAAAGCCTTTCCTATCTTAAGATTAAACAGGTATTCCTCTTATTTCTTCTCATACCTTTTATAGTATTCTAGTTTATGGTTAGATGTTTATTCCACCTAGAATTAGTTTTCCCACAATAGTTGGTAAAGGTCTGAGTAATTTTCCAAACAGCCAATTATCCCAACACATTTCTCGAAAAAAAAAAAAAATCTATCATTTCCATTACACACTGATTTGAAATGCCACCTGTACCACATATCCATCCCTACCCTCATGTGTACAAAGATATACTCAATATAATTGATTGAATATTCTCTTTTGTCCTCTTGATCTATTTTATTATGTATGCTATAGTAACCAATACACAGTAGACAGACAACAAATATTAGGTGAATGAATGTCACACTCCATTCAAATCCAGGGCTTTTGTAGGAACTGAATTAAATTTCTAGATTTTGAAACACCTGCTGTATTTCAACATTTAGTCTTTAATTCAGAAACAGGATATATCTCCAAAGATATTCAAGATTTTTTGTTAAACATTCTTTACATATAAGTGAGATCAAACAGTATTTGTCTTTCTGTGTCTATCTTATTTCACTGAGTATAATGCCCTCTGGGTTATCCATGCTGTTGCAAATGGCAGAATTTCCATTTTTAATGGCTAAATAGCACTCTGTTGTATATATGTACCGAATTATCTTTATCCATTTATCTACTGAGAGACACTTAGGTTGTTTCTAATCTTGACTATTGTGAATAATGCTGCAATGAACATGGAGGTGCATATATTTCTTCAAGATACTGATTTCATTTTTTTTTTTTTTTTTATATATATGCAGAATAGAAGCAGAGAGTAGAATGGAGGTTGCCAGGGGATAGGAGTGAGGTAAATGAGATGTTGGTCAAAGGGAACAAACTTTCAGTCATAAGATGAACAAGTTCTGGGTATATAATGTGCTGCATGGGTGGTGATGGATGTGTTAATTTGATTGTAATAATCATTACACTATATATGTATGTCAAATCATCATGTTGTACACCTTGAATATATTTAATCTTTATTCATCAATTAAATATTGTGAAAATTTAAAAATACCCTTCAGTAGTTTGATAGTTTATTTTTCTTTTAAACAGGTATTAAAACATTATTTGGTAAGTCTATTCTTAGATATTTTATAGCTTTCAAAGACAGACTACTTTTTACTTATTACATAAGTTAATAATAAAAATATTGTGAGGAAAATTATAAAGAGCAAAGAGTAATTCCATCTTGAAGAGTATTTTCAAAATGATGAATAACTGGAGTGAGTCTTTCATTGTTCAAAGGACCTTCTAGACTATCATTTCTTAAACTTTTTAATATCATAGACACCTTGGAGAAGCTCTTGAAAGCTATAGGCCCTTTCCTTCAGAAAAATACAGATACAGTAAAAAGCTCTCACCTGACATCCTTTTAGGAGACGTGACTGATTCATAAAATGTTTTTTAAATTTATTATAAATGATGTTTGTAGAATGCTGAACATTCATTCCTATCAGGTGCTCTCCAAAATGCTAAGGTACTATCTTTCGGAAGTTGATTAGTATGCTTATCAAGAGTAAGTTCCCTTTTTCCCCAAGTTGCTACATCAGTTTTACTTGTAATTAAACAGTCTAAATGTAACATAATATGATAAAATACAATTATAAAAATAATTATTGTTTCTAGGAAAATTAAATGCTTCATAAAGACACAGATGTGAATGGCTAAAAAAATAACTGCTATGAAATTAGAGGTGAGCAAGACAATTATAACAGCTGGGAGAAGTAATAAACATCTAAAAGGATTCTGCACTCATCTTTTTTTTAATGTTTTTAATTGTTCATTCTATTTTAAAGGAACCTAATCTGGAAATTGTAGAAGACATACTACAAACATGGCTTACCGTTGGAAAGATGTTATAGATCTTTAACCAGTAGACCAATACTCAAAGAAAAGCCCTACTTCAAAACAGAGAAAAGGAAAGACTTTTTTTTTTTTTTGAGATGGAGTCTCAATCTGTCTCCCAGGCTGGATGGAGTGCAATGGCGCAATCTCGGCTCACTGCAACCTCTGCTGTCTGGGTTCATGTGATTCTCGTGCCTCAGCCTCCCGAGCAGATGGAATTACAGGCGCCCGCCACCAGGCCTGGCTAATTTTTGTATTTTTACTAGAGGTGGGGTTTCACCATATTGGCCAGGCTGAAGAAAGACACTTATGTTTTAATTTGAAGTAAAATTGTGGGTATATATTTTTATATATATTTTTACAACTCGCTGCTTTAACACTTTTGATTAATTGTTAACTACTAGTCCTGATTATGTCAAATAAGGTTTTTCTTGTACACCCATGACTTTTCATAAAGTTTTGGAGAGGAGGGTGTGCTACAGACTCTCTAAAGTCCATCATGAATCTCAGGTTAAAAAAATTATATATTTGAATTTTTAAAATATTAAATATGATATTATTATAGTCAAAAGAAAAGCAAGGATTTCAACCCTAAGAATTAAAGTAACAATTATTTACCCCAGAAGAACATTTACAAGTTAATCTCTTATATTAGAAAAATTGCTATTTGAAGTTCAGCAATTCTTTTTTTTCCTTTTGTAAAAGTAAAATTCAATACTTTATTTTAAAAAAGAAAAATAAGACACATACTATGATCTCATTCTTACCTGTCTATTCATACATTTGTTTTTCTATCTCTGTGTATGTATGTTAAGATGTCTAGAAGAACATTCCATCCAAATGTGGACATGGATATTTGTATGGATAGATGCATTTTGGGTGATTTTTTTTCCCTAAACTTTTCTGAAATATTTAGATTATCTAAAGATAAGCAGGCACAATTTTTAAAAACAACCATGATGTCATTACTCTTAGAAAAAAGAAGAATCAGGGCTGGGCACAGTGGCTCACGCCGATAATCCCAGCACTTTGGGAGGCCGAGGCAGATGGATCACCTGAGGTCAGGAGTTCGAGACCAGCCTGGTCAACCTGGTGAAACTCCGTCTCTACTAAAATTACAAAAATTAGCTGGACATGGTGGTGGGCGCCTATAATCCCAGCTACTCGGGAGGCTGAGGCAGGAGAATTACTTGAATCCAGGAGGCGGAGGCTGCAGTGAGCCAAGATTGCGCCATTGCACTCCAGCCTGGGTGACAAAGCAAGACTCCATCTCAAAAAAACAGAAAAAAAAAAAAAAAGAAGAATCAGTGGAAGCATCATCCACTGGGAGGAGTAATGAACATGGAGGCCAAAAAATCTGAAGCTCAGTATGATGTTGGGCAAATCAGTCACTATGAAACTCCTCTGAGCCACAGTTTCCCTATAGATAAATGAGAAAAGATCAAAGTTGAATTAAATGAGCTTAATGTTTTCTTCCAATACTAGCATTTTATTGATTTCAGTGGTTAATTCCTATGTAAATTATTAAGAAAGTTTTAAAAATAAGTTTACCATGTTATCAATTATTTCAGGTATAAGTAGACTTAATGAATAATGTTCTCTTCCTCTGTTACGAGCTTCTATAGTTTGATCACATTACAAACTACATAGTACACCATATCCTTGACACTCTCAAAATATTGATAGGCAACTTTCTCTACATCAATAGTTAAAGAGATGAAGCAATGGGAATACAAGTACAGAAAGTCCTTCTGGTAACACCACACATTGTTTCAAGCATGAGGGGGATATGTTAACTGTTGGTAATTAAGAGGAGAAGGAAAAGAGGGAGAAAAATGCATAACCCAAAGTTTTCCTTCTCAATCTGAACATGTGTTAAAAATAAAATACTGACAAAAACTGTTCAAATCATTAAAAGAATCTGGATTTGTACTTAAGCTCACAAGAAAAAGACAAAACAACTATAATAAGCATTTATACAGGTGTTTCTTAATTCTAAGTGGTTTCAATATTGAGTTCGTGTGTGTGTGTGTGTGTGTGTGTGTGTGTGTGTGTGTGTGTGTGTGTGTTTTACGTTCAAAAACCACTGAAGCCAATCTATCAACTGGTTGTTTCTCATGTCAGGTTAATCTGCTGAACCAAACAGCTGCTAGTATTTTAATCTTCTTTTAAATAAAAATTGAAGTTTATATACCTTAATAATGGAGCAGTACTTCTCCCCATAAATTCTAATTCAGTGTCTCTGAACGTAATCCTCAAATCTGCCTTTACATTGTTGAATTATATTTAAACAAATTCATCCTATTAAGATGGCATTTACCATGCTGAGATGCTAATGTGATTTGGCCAACAGAGTTGACACCAACTACATCTCTTAAAATTAAATGTTGAAGGTGCTGTGTAACATTTAAATATTGTCACACTGAGAGTTTAAACAAATACTGAAATGTTGCTATTATTTAAAAAGAACTTACCTTAGCAATTATTATGGACTGAACTGGGTAGCAAACAGTTGCTCCTAAAGTGGCCAGTCCCAGAGGATAAGTAATTTTCTTAAACTTGGAACCTATAAAATGCAAATAAATTATTAAACTCCAAATATATGCCACCAGAGAGTTGATGTTCTTATACTGTAATGCTTTCTTTGCTTCCCTGGTAAGCCATGACACTCTGTTAAATTACTTTTTATGTAATTATACCAATCAAGATGGAAGCCAAAATGCCCTTAAGGATCTCAAGTCAATTACCCCTTAGCTGTCATGTCCAATTTAACAAAAGTATTCTCAATCTAATACTGACAATTACCTACACAAAAGGAATGGATGATTTTCTGCTGCTTGAAAGCTAGGTATTTTTCATGTCCTACGAAACCCAAATTTATAACCACAATTTTGCAAGTATCTAATAAAGCATGATAATATAGAGAATTAATTAACTACTGTGTTTGTGACACCATATTAAAGTGAAATGGACTCTCTCTTACGTCTCCTTTTTGATTAAGTATTTAGGAAGGTTAGTTAACTAAATAATCAGCTAAGGACTTTAACAGGTGCATAACTCCTTCATGTCACTGATTTAGAATACTGAATAATAATTGCAAGTAACTTGACATAATTAATGCATATCAAAAAGTGCCTTAACTATGCATCATTTAAGAGTTATTTTCATATCTTTTTTTGGTAACAAAATCCTTTCAAAATATCTTTCAAATAGAATCTCCCTAGGAAATTCAATATATAAAACCTATAAACTTGATGCTGCTGTGACTAACTTTGGGGTAGGAAGCTCTGTATCAAACCCTGGCTATATGGCTTTTCCTTTATCCTGATACCACCACTAAACACTTCCATGAAACTAAGGGTTCTACAGAATAGTTTGAAATCCACCACTTTAAGCTATAGCTTAGTTCCAAGTAACTGTTGATTCAAAATAATATGTACATTAAATGCTTCTCTGAGTATCTTAGACTGTATATATGATCTGGGTAATTGGATGATGGATTTTTAAATTGGGATAAGTACTTTCATGATCTGAAGCAGCTTATACAATCCCTAATCTAAAAAGGGAACAGCCTATCTGGTATATTATACAAATGAAAATGAATGTTTGCAGGCAAATTTGCAGTTTACGTAAGAGAAAAACTAGAGGTCTCTATCGGTCTGGTTTAACTATTATTAAGGAAGCTTTCTATAGTCATGTCTATAATGGACTGAGGTGGGGGGTGGCGGGCGGCCAGGCTGATTCGAACTAGTTTAGCTTTTCTTTAGATTTAGACTTTTGTGGTATGCAGAAAGAGGGTTTAAGTATATTAAAATGTCCTAAGTTGCTCCTTTACTCTAGTCCTGTTCGCTGTTATTCCGTTACCTATAGTTAAATTTCTTATTTCATAATTCTAATATCTCTTGATGTAAGTTCCCTTGACTTAACCAAATTCCCCTAATTGTGCTGCTCCTAAACATAGCAGGTGGCAGTTTTTCCTTATGTGTCATTTTAAAGATTTTAAAAAGACTTACAGTCATCCTCTCTTTACCTGATAAGAGAGGCCAGTCTGCAAGAAAAAACTACTCTGATATTTGCTGTTCTCCTCTATTTTTAAATAAAATGCATCCTGACAAGCAAATACTGAGGGATTTCATCACCACCACACCAGCGTTGCAAGAGCTCTCAAAGGGAGCACTAAACACGGAAAGGAAAAACCATTACCAGCCACTACAAAAACACACTGAAGTACACAGACCAATGGCACTATGAAGCAACTACATTAACAAGTCTGCAAAATTAACCAGCCAGCACCATTATGACAGGATCAAATTCACACATAACAATATTAACCTTAAATGAAAATGGACTAAATGCCCCAATTAAAAGAAACAGGATGGCAAGCCAGACAAAAAGACAAGACCCATCGGTGTGCTGTATTCAAGAGACACATCTCATGTGCAAAGACACACACAGACTCAAAATAAAGGATGCAGGAACATTTACCAAGCAAATGGAAAGCAGAAAAAAATCAGGGGTTGCAATCCTAGTGTCTGACAAAACAGACTTTAAACCAACAGATGTCAAAAAACACAAAGAAGGACATTACATAATGGTAAAGGGTTCAATTCAACAAGAAGAGCTAACTATCCTAAATATATATGCACCCAATACAAGAGCACCCAGATTCATAAAGCAAGTACTTAAAGACCTAAAAAGAGATACAGACCCACACATAATATAGTGGGAGACTTTAATACTCCACTGTCAGTATCAGACAGATCATCGAGACAGAAAATTACCAAAGATATTCGGGACTTGAACTCAACTCTAGATCAAGTGGACCTGATAGACATCTACAGAACTCTCCACTCCAGGAAAAAAAACAAAAACAAAAACAAAAACAGAATACACATTTTTCTCAGTGCCATGTGGCGCTTACTCTAAAATTGATCACATAATCGGAAGTAAAACACTCCTCAGCAAATGTAAAAGAACTGAAATCATAACAGTCTCTCAGACCACAGCACAATCAAATTAGAACTCAAGATTAAGAAACTCTCTCAAAACCGCACAACTACATGGAAATTGAACAAGCTGTTCTTGAATGACTTCTGGGTAAATAATGAAATTAAGGCAGAAATCAAGATGTTCTTTTAAACTAATGAGAACAAAGAGACAACGTGCCAGAATCTGCAATGCCGCTAAAGTAGTGTTAAGAGGGATATTTATAGCATTAAATGCCCACATCAAAAAGCTAAAAAGATCTCAAATTGACATCCTAACATGACAACTAAAATAACTAGAGAACCAAGAGCCAACAAACCACTGAGCTAGCAGAAGACAAGAAATAACCAAGCTTCAGAGCTGAAGGTGACAGAGGCACAAAAATCCCTTCAAAAAAAAAAAAAAAAATCAACAAATCGAGGAGATGATTTTATTGAAAAACATCAATAAAATAGACTGCTAATTATACTAATAAAGAAAAAAGGAGAGAATATTCAAATAAACACAATCTGAAATGATAAGGAAGATACCACCATTGATCCCACAGAAATACAAAACACCATCAGAGAATACTACAACCACATCTATGCAAATATACTATAAAATCTAGAAATGGATAAATTTCTGGACGCATACACCCTCCCAAGACTGAACCAGGAAGAAGTTGAATCCCTGAATAGGCCAGCAAAAAGTTCTGAAATTGAGGCAGTAATAAATATTCTACCAACCAAAAAAACCCCAGGACCAGATGGATTTACATCTGAATTCTATCAGAGGTACAAAGAGGAGCTGGTACCATTTCTTCTGAAACTATTCCAAACAACTGAAAAGGAGGGACTCCTCCCTAACTAATTGTATGAGGCCAGCATCATCCTGATACCAAAACCTGGCAGAGATACAACAAAAAAAAAGAAAAAGAAAACTTCAGGCCAATATTCCTTATGAACATCAATGCAAAAATCCTCAATAAAATACTGGCAAACCAAATCCAGAAGCACATCAAAAAGCTTATCCACCATGATCAAGTTGGCTTCATCCCAAAAGAACTAAAGACAAAAATCACATGATTATCTGAATAGACGGAGAAAAGGCCTTTGATAAAACTCAACATCCCTTCATGTTAAAAACTCTCAATAAACTAGATATTGAAGGAACACACCTCAAAATAATAAGAGCCATTTATGACAAACCCATAGCCAATATCATAATGAATGGGCAAAGCTGGAAGCATTCCCCTTGAAAACTGGCACAAGAAAAGGATGCCCTCTTTCACCACTCTTATTCAACATAGTACTGGAAGTTCTCGCCAGGGCAATCAGGCAAGAGAAAAAAATAAAGGGTACTGAAATAGGAAGAGAAGAAGTCAAATTATCTTTGATTGCAGATGATATGATCCCTGTATCTAGAAAATCCCGTCAACTCAGCCCAAAAGCTTCTTAAGCTGATAAGCAACTTCAGCTAAGCCTCAAGATACAAAAATCATTCATGATAACCTAAAATGAGATTTGACACAGCAACATCACAATACATATAAAAACCGCACTAACAACCACAACTAAAGTATAATAAAAAAAAAAAAAAAAAAAAAAAAAAAAAAAAAAAAAAAAAAAAAAAAAAAAAAAAAAAAAAAAGATACAAAAATCAATGTCCAAAATTTGCTAGCATTCCTATACACCAACAACAGGTAAGCAGAGAGCCAAATCACAAATTAACTCCCATTCACAATTGCCATAAAATAATAAAATACTTAGGAATACAGTTAACAGGGGAAGTGACAGACCTCTTCAAGGAGAACTACAAACCATTGCTCAAGGAAATCAGAGAAGACAAAAACAAATGGAAAAACTTTTCATGCTCATGGATAGGAAGAAACAATATCGTGAAAATGGCCATACTGCCCAAATTTACAGATTCAATGCTATTCCCATTCAGTTATCATTGACATTCTTCACAGAATTAGAAAAAAACTATTTTAAAATTCACATGGAACCAAAAAAGAGCTCATATAGCCAGGACAACCCTAAGCAAAAAAGAACAAAGCTGGAGCCATCATGCTACCTGATTTCAAACTATACTACAAGGCTACAGTAGCCAAAGCAGCAAGGTATTTGTACAAAAATGGGCACACAGACCAATGGAACAGAATAGAGAACTAAAACCACACATCTACAACCATCTGATCTTTGACAAACCTGACAAAAACAAGCAATGGGGAAAGGATTCAATATTTAATAAATGGTGTTGGGAAAACTGGCTAGCCATATGCAGAAAATTGAAATTGGACCCCTTCCTTACACCTTATACAAAAAGTAACTTAAGATGGATTAAAGACTTAAAACATAAAAAAACTATAAAAATCCTAAAAGAAAATATAGGCAATACCATTTAGGACATAGGCATGGGCAAAAATTTTATGATGAAATCACCAAAAGCAATCACAACAAAAGCAAAAATTGACAAATGAGATCTAATTAAACTAAAGAGCTTCTGCACAGCAAAAGAAACCATCATCAGAGTGAACAGACAACCTATAGAACGGGAGAAAATTTTTGCAATCTATCCATCTCACAAAGGTCTAATATCCAGAATCTACAAGGAACTTAAGCAAATTTATAAGAAAGAAACTAAGAACCCCATTTAAAAATGGGCAAAGGACATGAACAAACACTTCTCAAAAGAAGACATACATGTGGCCAATAAACATGAAAAAGAGCTCAACATCACTGATCATCAGAGAAATGCAAATCAAAACCACAATGAGATAATATCTCACACCAATCAGAACAGCTTTTACTAAAGTCATAAAATAACAGATGTTGGTGAAGTTGTGGAGAGAAATGAATGCTTTTACATTGTTGGTGGGAATGTAAATTAGTTCAAACATTGTGGAAGATGTGGCGATTCCTCAAAGATTTAGAACTGGAAATACCATTTGACCCAGCCATCCCATTACTGGGTATATACCCAAAGGAATATAAATCACTCTATTATAAAGATACATGTATGCATATGTTCACTGCAGCACTATCCACAATAGCAAAGACATGGAATCAACCCAAATGTCCATCAATGATAGACTTATAAAGAAAATGTGGTACATATACACCATGGAATACTATGCTGCCATAAAAAGGAATGAGATCATGTCCTTTGCAGGGACATGGATGAAGCTGGAAAGCCATTATCCTCAGCAAACTAACACAGGAACAAAAAACCAAACACTGCATGTTCTCACTTGTAAGTGGGAGCTGAGCAATGAGAAGACATGGACACACGGAGGGGAACAACACACACTGGGGCCTGTCATGGGAGGGTGGCGGGGGGAGAGCATCAGGAAAAATAGCTGATGAATGCTGGGCTTATACCTCGCTGATGGGTTGACAGGTGCAGAAAACCATCATGGTACACGTTTACCTATGTAACAAATCTGAACATGCTGTACATATACCCTGGAACTTAAAATATAATTTTTTAAAACAAAGGTAAAATGTCTCCTGAGATTCATTATATTTATGTCATTATCTATTAATAGGTTGAGATCTCCAATTTGAAAAACACTGGGTTAGACTATTCTAGCTCTGACATTTGGAAACACGGTGAATGACCTACGGAACATTTTCTCTTGCAAGAATGGTATAAGTATTTTACTGAGAAATGGAGTAATACGTTTTGGACAATTTCCTTCAAAATTTAATTCTTTGAGTCTTATTGTTTTATATCATGATCTTGGTTTTTAATTATTTCTTACTGAATAATTTATAATACATATTCAATTAGAAGTTGCTTGCCTACTATAATAAGAAATAGGATATAGGGAGGCATTCATATTAGCTATAGAGAGAGTGTTATGTCCATCCAGATGATATATATATCTATATATATATATGAACATTCTACCATCCTAACTCTCATGTATATGCCATATATATATGTTATACATATATCTGTTATATATGTTATATATATGAGAGAGAGAGATATATATATGTTAGAGTTAGGATGCTAGAATGTTCTTATAATTGCACAGCAGTTTTGTACCTAATTATGCCTTGAGTTGAGGCTTTTAGGACTATAGCTGGAAAAACAAACTACAAAGTACCTGACATCAGATTCCAGACTGGCTCAGAGATGTGCCTTCCAAATATAAGCAATTTAGTTTGGGGACAATGTCTGCCAACTGGAGTGTGGACAAAGGATGACTGAAAGGTGACCAAAATGGCTAGTGACTAGAGAACTACACTAGCTTAGTAAGGGCTTGGAGAAATGAAAACCCTGTATACAAATTTTCATAGCAGCTCTATTCCTAATGACCAAAAGCTGGAAACAACCCAAATGTCCAACAGGTAAGTGATAAAGTAAACTGTGGCACATCCATATGAAGAAATACTACTTAGTAACAAAAAGGAACAAGCTATTGACACATGCAACAATCTTGATAATCTGAGTGAAAGAAGCCAGTCTATGTATGATTCCATTTAGATGGCATTCTCAAAAAGGCAGAGCTAGAGTGACAGAGAACAGATCAGTGTTTCTGGGAGTTAGAAGTGGGAAGAAGGTCTGACTACAGACAGATAGCATGAGGTACTTTTTGGGAATAATATAACTGTTCTGTATCCTGGTTGTGGTGATGGTTACATGACTCTATGTATATATTAAAACTGATAGAATTGTATGAATCTACTGTGTCATAATTTTGAAATAAAATTTTTTTGAATATACAGCTGTTCCTATTAAAATTATAATTTGTCATTTTGTTTTCTAGGTAACTTTTTTTTTAAGACCTTAAGAGTCGCTAACTACTGAAAAAATTTCTTGAGAGTTTTATCTTAATGTAAAAATATATACTAATCACTCAGACGAATTTTCTCAGTCATGATCCCCCATATTCTGGGGGCTACTTTAAAGATTTGAGACAGAGATACTGATATATGAGATAAAATTTTATTTTCTCTTGGTCTCATCCTGACCAATGTTGTTAGAACTGACATGGTATCTCATTCTAGTTTTTATCTGCATTTCCCTAATGACTAATGACGTTGAACTGCCTTTGGAATAGCTATAGTTTTGAAAACACAAAGTCCTTATAAAAGTAAGCATGCTGTAATACAGAATCTAAAAATCTTTACAGTAGCCTATCCAGATAATATTCAATAAAGCATATGAGGTTTTCTCATGATCGTAAAATTCAGAAACTAATATCGTGGCATTAAGAGAGAATATACTCTTAAAAACCCTACCTTTTCTCGCTGAAACCAAGCCCGCCAATCCTGAAACTGAAATAACTGCCATTTTCGGAAGAAAGTCTCGAGGAGGATTCTTCAGATAGACATAAGCATCTCAAGAAATCAGTTAAAAATTAACATAAATAACTGAATTCTACTGGGCATTCTATACAGTTATGATGCAGGAAGGTTAAAGAGATTTGTTAAGATAATAATAAGGTTTAAACACTCTTCAAAAGAGCTATATATAATGACGATATGAGTAGCAACCTAAAAAACTAGATATATTTACTTGTTACGAAATAACATTTTCCTTCTATAGGTGATTTAATATTTCTTTTCTTAATGATACCAGTGGTCATTACTATAAAGAAATGTAATGCTAGAGGGCACATCTTAATATGGGTTACCATAAGGTAAATTTCTGACTGTGTATGTATTATATCTCTATAATGAACATGCTTCTGCCCTTATCTGTTCAAACACTGGTAGCCTCCAGTGAGAACCGAAATAGATACTTTATAAAGGAGTTTTGAATAATAGTTTAAGGATATACACAGCTACTAGACCTTGCTTGCCACTACTCCCTAATAATCTCAAGACAGCCACTGCTGTTGGTTAATCATCACTGAGCCTAGATAAAAAGTAGATGAAGAGTAGGTGAAAGTCCAGATTTCTTGGCTTTCTATATATTTAAATTGTTTCTAGTTCCAAAAGTATACTTTTCTATCATAGTTAATTATTTAATGGCAATCACATATTTAATCCTATTCCTAATGATTGATGAGGAATATAATTTTGAATTTATTCCTAATACATTAAATAATGATAATTCAAAAACAGGTCATCAACTTCATGGAAACATTCAAAATTTTAGCTCATCTTTCTATCTCCCATACATATTTACTATGACAACTGGCATAAGCCAAGAATATTAGAAAGCTGTATCTGTTGCTAAATACCATTAACAAGCTAGAGTCAAATATAATTGCTTTTTAAACATTAGCTTAAATATTCCAGGGTTAGTGATTGCTATAACATTTCCTAGCCGTTGACAGCAAAATACAATGTATTTTAACAGCAAATAGCACTTAAACTAATTAGCAACAATGGAGACATGTTTTTAATTTATGCTTTATGATATATAATATAGACTTAGTAGTTAAAACAGACCTCAGTTTGTATCCTGGCACTACCACTTGTAGTTACGTAACCTCAATAACCTACTTAACCTTTCTAAACCTCAGTTGCCCTCATCTGTAAAATGGGACTAATTATAATACCAATACTAACAGAATTGTGACAAAAATTATGTAAAATGTTTAGTACAACACCTTAGCCAATAACAACTGCTGAATAATGAATACTATTGCTTTGCTATTATTACCAATAAATTGCTATAGAGAGTATCTTCTGAGTTGGCAAATGCATGATAATGGGTAACATACCAAGTTTATTTTTCTCATATTTAAACAAAGCAATTTAAAAACACAATACAACATTTCTAATTATTTACTCACCTACCTTTTCCAAATTGTACTGTATCCATTATCCCATTTTTCACAAAGACATAAACACCCTAAGCAGAAAAAAAAAAGGGGAGGGGGAAGACACCTGCATTTTTGAAGCTGTTGATAATGAGACAAAATTGCCTGCACCTCCGAGATTATATTAAAAGGTTGACTTAGCATTATGCCCAAATCTAAATCCAGCTTTCCTGTGTATTTACTATCAGAATACTCATTTAACTTAGCTTGTTTTCATTTTCTGCTTTTCATTCTATTTAACATGGATAACATTTATACCATTTTTCTCATATAAATGGATGTCTATGAAATAATCAGAGCAGAAATGATAGTGAAGAAAATAAAGATCTATCATCTTATGTTATAACGAACTAGAAAAATAAATGGAATTTAAATAAAGCAAGAAGGGAGGTATATATCAGTTTAGAAGCAACATCTGATTAATAAAGATGCAGTAGCAATAACATAATGATTTGTAGAGGGGAAAAAAGAACAAAAAGTCTAAAGCAAAGGGCTTCATCTTCCTCCCTTTTCTTATTGTACATTAGAATAAGAAAAAAAAAATCTAAATTACCTCAGGACAGAAATCATCCTACACAGACTACTGTTTATCCTGTTTTTAAATAGGAACATAAATTCTCTAGAAATCAAAACTATGTTAATCCATCGGAGGAATTAAAGTTTTAAAGCAAATCTTTAACTTTACCTGTCTCTAACTGATTTATTTTAGTGCAAAAGAGTGTTAAATATATTTATTGAGTGCTAGGTATTATCTCACTTATATAAGAAAAAAAAAAGGAAGTCACAAAATGATTTACTCATGGTCATATTGTACTCTGTTGATGGAACCAGAAAACACAATCCAAATATATGGTCTCCTTCTCTGAACTAGCTGCTATGAAACCATGGGATAAAAACAGAACAAAAAAGACTTTCAAAGCAGAGAAAATAGAGATTATGATGTTGGACAGGGAAGAAATAAGTTTTTGTTATAGAGGTAGCTTGGTTTTGTAATTTTATCTTAGATATTTTAATGGTTATCAGAGAGATGCAGAGGTTCATCTTGGTTTAAAATTGTACAAATCAGCATAAATTCTAACTGCTATTGAACTACTTTTTTGTAGGGACTCTCTTGAGAATATTGCACCTTCAAAGTTAAAATATCTATTGACCAGTCGATTGGGAATCATTTAACCATTAAGTCATCTTTTAAAAAAATGTTTTTCTTATCTCTGCTAAAGAATTCATTTTTACCACATGGGGTCAGTGCTATCTAAATTTCAAAACACTAAGCTAGCAGTAGTAGAAATTGAATTTGCTCTACATGATTCAAGGTTTAATGTGGAACAAATTTGAGTCAGACGTAATTTTTAAAGAATAGATTACATTTTTAGGGGAAAATTAGAAAAAAAAAAAGTTGTTTACATTTAGGACAAAATGCATTGGAAATTGCCTTTTTTCAACCTATTTGTTTGAGCATACTAATGGAATAAAACATTCTTTTGAGTCTTAAATTGGATGATAGTTACAATAGCAATTTAAAGACCTCTCAGGAACATTTTATCTCACTGAAGAAAAATTTGAGAACATTATGGAAAATTACATCTCAGGAAGCTTAAGTCTGAATCATCTAGCTATTGGCATATAGTCATAGGGACATGATTCAGACCATAATTGGTTAAGGTATTTCCCTCTTAGAGCAAACTATTAGTAGCGTGTAGTACAACTAGTACCATAAAATTTGTATGACAAACACAAGTTTTCAAAAATAACATCATATATTTATCAGATATTTGAATGAAATATCATCTGGAATTATCAGAGTTCATTGATTTGGTATTTCACCTAAGCATACATTATTTTTTATAAGCTCATTAGATTTCTTTTTAAAGATAATGGATAGAAGAAACTAAACAAGAACAGTGGTTCACCATCAGGCTATAGCTGCGGAAAAGTCACATGGTTACTAGGTCAGAATGATGAAAACACTGGTACCAACATTAAGACACTGACACTGGAGATACCGATGCTAACACAATTATGTTTATGTGATGATAAAGAAACATTAGTGTTGTATCAGCTTACTCCACCACTCTGCTGATGGATATCACTAATTGAAGGCTAAGCATTAAAGTCACGTGTATTCTAGCTTGCCCAATAGCTTACTGTAGCTAGAATGGTCTTATGGGATAACCCCAACAAGTAAACAACACTTTGCTTAGCCAAAGAAGAAAATATTCAGAAGTAATCTCAGAACTTCACATAAAAAGTGAGGGATACTGTGTACATGCTAGGTGACACAAATGCTTGCTGAACTACTTTAATTTATGCAGTAGGGGTACAGTAGGTTCAATACAGCCACAAATTATTTGCTGCAACTTCTACTGAGAATTGGCATCTAATTCCCTTCCCTTTAAAACGAAGCTGGCCTTAGTGACTTAACAATAGAATGCTGTAGAAGTGACTTTCTTGGACATCTGATGATAGGCAAAAAGCCTGACAAATTCTGCCTAGGGCCACTTGTAACATTGTCTTTAGGAGCCCTGAACTACCCATGTTAAGTTATATCTGACCTATTTGAGATCACCATGCTTGAAAGGCCATGTGTAAGCATTCTAGTCAATAATCCCAGCTGAACCCAGCCATCCAGCCATCTTTAACAAGGTGCCAGATATGCAAATAAAGCTGTCTTGGACTGTCTAGATCAGCTCATTTGCCAGATGAACACCACTGGGCCACCTCTGTCAATGTCACATGCAACAGACAAATCATCTGTCTGAACTCAGATCAAATTTGTGACTTACAAAATCATAAGATGTAACATAATGGTTGTGGTTTTAAGCCACTAAGTTTTGGATTAGTTTTCTACACATCAATAGGTAACTGGAACAATTAAATCAGAAACCTCTGATATTAAACCACTATCAGAATTGACTTACCTTGCACCAGCCAATATAACAACCAGTTGCAGTCCGGATGGAAGCAAAACCCATTTGTAAATGACCAGGCTGCTCTTCAACATATTTAGACTGAAGCGGTGGTGCAGTATATATAGGGAGCTACAGGCAAAAAATGTTCATGTCAAAAACGTAAAATAGCTGGACTGTCCGTAACAGCAGTATGGCAGAACAGGAATCCTAATCAGCCTTCTTCCTAAAAACAACTAAAAATGCTGATAAAATACTTTGAAAAAACCATCTTAAATGCAGGAATGATGTGGTAAACTGTTTATAAAGACTATTTAAAACCCAGAAATTAAAAGATGCCAAATATAGTATAATATAGTGGTTCTACTCTTATGTATATTTAGAGAAACTACTGTTTTTGCACACCCCGAGTTATGTATAATAATGTTCATAGCATCATTTTAATTACAACCAACCCAATGTCCATCCACAGTAAAATGGATACATTGGGACATATTCGTACAAAGAAATATTAGAAATTACGGGGTAAATATAAAAATTACAGCAACATGGAAAAATTTGGATGAATTTCAGGAATATAAGTTTACTTAAAAAAACCCAAAAAACATATTGCTTAGCAATACAGACATATAAGGTAAAATTTAAAAGTAAAGGAGGGGAATAATAGTAAAAATTCAGGGTAGTGATAACCTCTGAATGGAATGAAATAGGAACACAGGGGATTTTGTTTTCCTTTAAATTGGGTAGTAGGCACACAGCTGTACATCGTTATCATCATATCATACCTTTCATATTTTGAACAGCCTTTTTATTCTAATTAGTATTTAATAAAAACAAACATACACAAAAGAACAATGAAAAATTTAACCAGGTAGGGACTTACTTCCTTTTAAAAAAAAAAAAACTTTTTTTTTTTTTGGCTTTTATATTTAGGGTATAAATCATCCTATGAAGCTTCGTGTTTCATGAAGATATAACTGGAAAGAATCAAGTTTACAAATCAACAGCAAGGGAACTAGATGATTAATGACTTTGGATTTGGTCCTCTATCAACAACAAACATGAAACTATAGTTAACACTATATTGTATTCTTGAAAAATGCTAAGAGTGGGTATAAAATGTCCTCATCACAAAAATGATAACTATTTAAGGTAATACATATGTAAACTGAGTTAGTCATTCCATAATGTATATATACTTCAAAGCATCATGCTGTACAAGGTAAATGCATACAATTTTATGTCAGCTTTTTAAATTAAAATTTAAAAGACATATAAACCACAAGACAGTGTCAGTTTGGTAAAGTTTTTCCAGTAGTAAGTCAGAAAAGTCTTGCTTTACCATTAAATGGCTCTTTACTTCCCATACGAGGATTAAAGAGTTAGTGTTTATCTTTCTACACTAATACTTAGATTTAAATTCACCACATTGCCCACTTTTTGATGGGGTTGTTTGATTTTTTCTTGTAAATTTGTTTGAGTTCTTTGTAGGTTCTGGATATTAGCCCTTTGTCAGATGAGTAGATTGCAAAAATTTTCTCCCATTCTGTAGGTTGCCTGTTCACTCTGATGGTAGTTTCTTTTGCTGTGCAGAAGCTCTTTAGTTTAATGAGATCCCATTTGTCAATTTTGGCTTTTGCTGCCGTTGCTTTTGGTGTTTTAGACATGAAGTCTTTGCCCATGACTATGTCCTGAATGGTACTACCTAGGTTTTCCTCTAGGATTTTTATGGTATTAGGTCTAACATTTAAGTCTCTAATCCATCTTGAATTAATTTTCGTATAAGGAGTAAGGAAAGGATCCAGTTTCAGCTTTCTACTTATGGCTAGCCAGTTTTCCCAGCACCATTTATTAAATAGGGAATCCTTTCCCCATTTCTTGTTTCTCGAGTTATACCTGATGTAAATGACGAGTTGAGAGTTGATGGGTGCTGACGAGTTGATGGGTGCAGTACACCAACATGGCACAGGTATACATATGTAACAAACCTGCACGTTATGCACATGTACCCTAGAACTTAAAGTATAATAATAATAATAAATAAAAAAAAAGAAAGAAAAAATAAATAAATAAATAAATTCACCACATTGGCAACTGTAATTAGGAAGGTGAGAGATGCATATTTTATATTAAAGATGCATTTTATATATAAAAAGCAGGTGCACTGCAAGTAGAGAAGTTTCCCCTCTCCCCTAGAAAGGAGAGATATATGTGGATGTACTGGTGTTAGAGTGGGCAACGTTATTTACTTACATGTTTGTCCATCATGTTTCTATCCTCTCTATTATTTACACATCCCAATTCCAAACTTTACTACACTCATTGTTCTTATTCTCTCCTCTGTCCCCATCAAAACCTGCTGATTAAGTTTTCTTTCTTTTTTTTTTTTTTTTTTGCGACAGGGTCTTGCTTTGTCATCCAGGCTAGAGTACAGTGGCATGAACACAGCTCACTGCAGCCTCAACCTTCCGGGCTCAAGCAATCCTCCCACCTCAGCATCCTGAGTAGCTGGGACTACAGGCACACCCCCAACAAACCTGGCTAATTTTTGTATTTTTTTGTAGAAACGGGGTTTCACCCTGTTGCCCAGACTGGTCTCCAATTCCTGAGCTCAAGCAATCCGCCCACGTTGGCATCCTAAAGTGCTGGGATTATAAGTGTGAGGCACCGTGTCTCACGGATTCAGGTTCTTTATCTGTTGCCAATTGTAAACAAAATTTTGTATATGAAGTTTTCTAGGAACAGCATTCAAAGTTCTTATCAGACTCTCAAAGGGGTCAGGATGGTTAAGAACCAGTGTTTTAAAGTATTTTCCTTCTAAGGCATGGGCATAGTTGAAAGGTTTATGATGACAGGATTTCAGCTCTACTGTAAGAATTTTAAGAGCTAGCCAGTAGGATGTTACTATAGTCTCCACTGAGAAGAGCATTCTCACTATAAATTTTGGAGGCCTTGGGGTTAAATGCCACTTATTGTATAGATAGAAATTGTTTGTTCTCATTTTGAAATTATGATTACATTTAGTAAGCTATAAAACCACATTTAAAATTAAATTGAACCAAAGTAACTAAAACTCTCAAATCAGTATTTTTTCTGTTATTTCTCAGTGACAACAAGCAAATGACAAGAAAATAAGTACAATTCATCTCATAGAGGGATTTTAAAAAGAAATGTTCAGGGATGTCTAGGGCTGGCTATATACATGCATTCCAATTGCTAGTCATTTTACTGATCTGAACACTGTAGATTTCATGGTTAAAAAAATGATTGTCTCATGGTCCTACAGAGTTTTCTATTAAAGAGAGATTTAATTATGTTCACTAGATGGCATATAAGGCAGGAATACATTGAGAATATTTAAAAAGACGCTTAGTGAGAAGAGTTGAACTAAAACAGATTTTCTGTTTAGCTACAAGTTTACCAAAAGATTCAAATAACCAAATAACTAGAACACTTCATTCATAAAGTATTCTGGTTTAGTAGAAGCATTATTATAGATTTAAACGGAAGTATAGCCCACTTTACACAATAAAAGTAGCTAGAAATGTTGCACATAAATCACATTTTAATCCCTTCAGAAATTCTACAGTCCTCAAGGATTGGATCCTGACTTTGTATATAGTCCCTAGCACGTAGTTGGCAACCAGCTTTGTTTAATGAGTAATTCAATTAAATGATATTTAAAATGTACTTGGGGAATACAATAAATACCAAGGAATACTGTGTATTCCATAATAAACAGCACTACTTTATTTTAAAATTTCAAAAATTAAATTCAGTCATTAGGGATTTATCTTCCTACCTAGATTTGAGCTGTCCAGATATGGGAGTGTCAAGGAAGCCTTAAAATCAACATCCTCCTAAGATTAATAAAAAGAAAAAATTAAAAAAATACTTAGAATCAGTTAGCGGGTAGGAAAATGACTCTACCCTAGACCATTAATGAAAATAAACTTTAGTAATTAGAACAGTGCCTCACAAATATATATAGAGGAGCTTAGAAAATATTTTTGGTTGAATTTATGAATATTACCTTTATGCATGTTAGTTTGGCAATATTATCAATTTTTTGTGCCTTTTGACCTACACTTCTGCTTCTAGAAATTCATTCTAAGGAAATGGTTATAGACGTATATAAAGATTCAATACAAAGTGGTTCAACAAGTACTGAATACAATAGCAATAGCTGGAAATAGTCTACATTTCCAAAAATTTATGAAAATTTTACATTTATTTGATGGTAGTACATTCATACAAAAGAATACTTATGACACCATTAAGAGTTCTGCCCAATGTCATCTAACTAGTCAGTCATGGAAGCAGGATTCAAATTCAGGTCTGATTCAAAAACATATTATTAAGTGTGTAGATAAACCTTAGGGATGACTTAAAGTGGGAAGAGATAAAAAGCACAATGATGAATAGAATTAGTAACCACAATTACAGCTCAACAGGCTGGCATGATAAGCCAGATCAACAAGGTAAAATTTAAACAGGTATAAATATACCTTCAACGAGTCCAAAAAGTTCAAATGCCTAAGTACAGACTGGGATGAGGCATACCTTACTGGCAGTCCATGTAAAAAGGCTTAATGAATTTTAGAGAACCACATGCTTACTGTATCACGGTCAAAGGCTGCTTATGAGCATGGTTGATTTTGAGCACTCAAACATAAAAACTAACACGATATTAGGCAGCATTAATAGAAATATAACATCTAGAAGAGGAGAAGTCAGAGACTGACTCTGTCCTGTAGCAGTCAAAAACACCTTGGTTCATACATCCAAGTCATGGCACCAAAAACCAAAGTGCTTTTTAAAAACAAAAACAAAGTACTTACACCTGAAGAAAACACTAACTATCCTGAACATGCTTGGCAGAGGCTGATCATGATAGTGAGGAACTCAGAGCTGTGATGTATGAGAAATAGCTGAAGCAACTAAATGCTTTAAAATGTTTATCCTGGAAGCAAAATTACTTAAAGTATAACTGATATTTAAAGGCTTGTTTTTTGAAAGAGAGAAGTTTTCTGTTTGGCACCAATGCAAGAGATACAGTACCAACAGGTAGAAGTGATTATGAGACTAATTTCTGTCTGACATAAGGAAAGGACCTTAAATTAAATGAGAGGATTTAGAAAATGGAATGGGCTCCTTAGACTCCTTTATCTAGAGTTTTATTCACGTAGAAGATATATGGCCACTAAATGTGCCTGCTATAGAGGGAATTACAGTACCATACAGAAGGTTGATCTAGAAAACATCTAAGGTCACTTCCAAAACTGAGATCTTAATGAATCTCTTAAACTGAAGTTTCCTAATACTGAATGTACCTGTATACGTTTTTCAAGAAAGAAAAATCAGACTGCCTAGAACGTCTAACACCCTCTACTACTTATTGATTATTCATTAAGAAAAACCACCAGTTGTTTTTCATTGGAGTTAGAATTTTAGATGTTTGAGTTACATATTGTCTTTTGAGATACTTCATAACTATTTCTCTCAACTTTTAAAACCTACCTAACAAAGACTTCTAAGACATTTTTGATGAGTAAAGATAATTTTAAAAAATATAGCTTTTGTGTTATCTTGATATTATACAAAGTTCATAAACCTTTGTAGGCAAATTACCTGCTCTGGTTTCACTAGCTGCTTTTTGGATTCCTCTTCTTTGACTGCATGTACACTTACAGATGCATATATCAGACCTGCAGGCATGGTTGTCAGTTTTCCCATCTGAGAAAGATATATCAAAAACACCTTTTTAGTTGAAAAGCTTTCCATCTTCCATTTCCTAATAAATTCTGGAAGAATCTCAGGTAATCTATTGGTTTCACTATAATATATTAAATATTCAAACACTCCAAATTACCTCATACATTTTTAAGACACAGTTCATAAAATTATCTTCTCATACTGGATGGCAGAGTACTATTTTTACCTGTTTGTTAACTACTTCATAAGGAATATAGCAATATAATATTTATCTGGAATATTATTACATAATAATATAGCAATGTAATAATTACTAAAATCTGAGGGATGGAGTGGGATTGGTCTTGGTATTCATTCAGTCTACAAACATCAGTTGAACACCTACTATGTGCCAGACTCTGGTTTTAGTGCTTAGAATATATCAGTGAACAAAACAAAGATTCCTGCTCTCATACAAATGACATTCTAGTAGAGAAGAGACAGGCAATAAACACAATAAACTATATGTTATATTACAAGTTGATAAATGCTCTGGAGAATGTAAAGGATAAGAGTGGTCTGGAGTACTGAGTGATGCAGGCTGCATCTTGAAATACAATTTATATTAACATTATCCATAAAAATGAATTATTTCTATTATAAATCCTTTGCCCCAATTTTCCCAATGCATTCCCTTTTACCTGTTTCATGCTAAACTTAAAGCAAAAAGTGATCTTTGTTTTAGCTATAACTTGATTTGAATTAAGAATGCAGGAAAAGTACTGACTCTAAGAATAAAGTGTTCTAGTGTTATTCAGGTACCAAAATAATTTCGAAAGATTATCCATTCAGCAAGGCCAAGTGTAAAGCTTTCCAAGGTACAAATATTTTAACACTCTGATTCCTTAGTAGGGAAAGAAGCTTCCTGAATTTTGACAAAGGACATCATGAGGGAAGCGGTCTCCTTGTTTTACACACAAATAAAACTGTGCAACACCTGGAAGAGTCATTGGCTAAAGGATTCTAAATGTTCTCCAATGACAGTGATAGTGCCTATACTTCATTTCTGACACTGTTTTTAATATTTTCTGAGAAGAGCAAGGGAAGCTACTCAGGCATCAATCAGTTAAGTAATTTCCTGTTTAAACTGGGCAGGACTCTGATTTAGATTGGGGCTGTAAAAATACAGGGTAAAATTAAGAGTCAACACTAAGAAGATAAGTTTTGTTTATTTTTCTCCCCCATGCCTCCTTCTAGTACAGGAAACAGTATCACAGAATTATTTATCTATGCATGCTTCCCTTAAAGACATCACTTTTTTTATTTCTTATACCCAGTTGGTATTCATTAATGAAATAACAAGATTTCCACACCATACTTATGTCAGGTATAATTTAAATGTATATTAAAACTGATGCAAGTATGGTCCCCATGAACCAGGGAAATTTTGTTAATAAAAGCTCTATACTACAGGAAGGATGTAAAATTTTATAACATTTAAAAGCTTTTTTTGAAATATCTGACTAGACTTTACTTCTTCCTAAGAGACTACTCCCTGGATATAAGACAAATACTTTCAAAGTATGTTAATATCTGAATTTTTTCAACACACTAATGATCACAGAGTATACTCACATTACTTCATATAATGCAACAATAATATGTAGACTATAAAATAATTTCATAGGTATTGCTTGATAATTATGATCTAGTTAGTATTCCAGATTATGGATTTACTCATTGAGCTCATAGCCTAAAAGTTAATATACCTTGAACATTGCCTAAGTACTTTCTCCACATTTTTTACTCTGTAAGGTAATAAGTTACCTTACAGTTACCATTCTTTCCTACTGTCTTCATAGATTCCTTGACTTTTACTGAGGAGGCAGTATGGCACAACCGAAAAAAAATATGAGCTTAGGGTCGGGAGTGGTGGCTCATGCCTGTAATCCCAGCACTTTGAGAGGCCGAGGCTGGTGGATCACCTGAGGTCAGGAGTTCGAGACCAGCATGACCAACATGGTGATACCTTGTCTCTACTAAAAATACAAAATTAGCTGAGTGTGGTGGTGCATGCCTGTAATCCCAGCTACTTGGGAGGCTGAGGCAGGAGAATCGCTTGAACCCAGGAGGCAGAAGTTACAGTGAGCCGAAATAGCACCATTGCACTCCAGCCTGGGCAACAAGAGCAAAACTCTGTCTCAAAAAAAAAAAAAAATTTTTATATATATATATATATATATATATATATATATATATATATATAAGCTTAGGAGTTACACAGAACTTACTGTCTAAACTTGAACAAATTATTGAAGTTCTTCAAGTTATGCTGCCCAGTATGGTAACTACTAGCCACATGTGGTCATTTAAATTGAAATTAAAATTATTAATAAATAAAAACTTCAGTTGCATTAGTCTCATTTCAAGCACTCAATAGCCATAATGTAGACCACAGATATAAAACAAGTTCATCATTGCAGAAATTTCCAGTGGACAGTGATTTCTTAATTAGGTTAACTAAGTACTATTAGGTTAAATATCTGAAAAAATGTGTATGCCATCCTGTTGATTATCACAAGGATTAAATAAGGAGTTATATTAAAACGGCTTACATTTGGTACATAGGCAATTAAGTTTAGTTTCCCATTCCTTCTGTTTGCTGAATAAAAAAAATTAAGTGGCTGTGCTTATTCCTTATTTTTCTTTTCACATGTATTTCATGCTAATCAGGCTCTAGTGAGAACAGTGAGAACAATAAAATCTATTCAACATATTTATTACCTCCAAATAAAAAAGGTCGCAAATTTTGTCAAAAGAAATCAGGAAGACTGGCACAGTAAGGCATCTGCAAGTCTGTTATACTGGTGAAGTACATGTCACTGTCTTAAAGAGGGAAAGCTAATGGTACAGCACATTGAAAATGTTTGAACGAAGATTGGCAAGCTACAATTCTGGGCTAAATCTGGCCTGGACGCTAAGCTAAAAATGTTTTTAAAAAACATATTTAAAGATATGTAAAAACAAGAATATGTGACAAGAGATCTCATGCATCCTGCAAAGCCTAAAACATTTACCATGAGGCCATTTACAAAAAACAATGTGCCAGCCTCCAATTTAGAAAACCAAATAAGATATTCAAAAAGTTATCAGAGTTTGGAGTGTTATTAAAAAACTTACAGCCTTATGAGGCTGTCATTAATCAAACAGCATTAAAATTGAGCAGAGATAATCGAGTTTTCACAAGAGGAAAGACCTTGACTTAAAACTATTTTTAACTCAAAATAATAAGTCAAAATTACAACTTATTTAAAATCAATGAGAGATTGAAAACTGGCTCTCTACAAAAGATAACAGGTCCTAAAACAGAATTCTCGCACATGGAAATTTACAAACAGCAGGGCTAAAAGATGAGTATGAGGTAACTTACCCATAAGACTCACCCTCTCCAACTGTTCCTGCAATAAAAATAGAGCTGATTCTTGTTATTTCCAGCAGTTATATTCTATAAAGTAGCTGTGAATACTGATTTACAGAATACTGAACCATTCCTCCAGGGAAAAATGCAGGGTGAGCTTCCTGTGATAGCAAGTTTTTTGAAGGTTTTTTATCATGAACTGATGTTGAATTTTATCAAATGCTTTTTCAGCATCAATTGAAATGATTATACGATTTTGATCCTTCATTCTGTTGATATGATGTAGCACACCGACTGATTTGTATATGCTGAACCGTCCTTGCATCTCTGGGATAAATCCTACTTGGTCATCATGAATGATCTTTTTAATGTGTTTTGGAATTTGGTTTGCTGGTATTTTTGAAGATTTTTGCATCAATATTCATCAGGGATACTGGTCTATAGTTTTCTTGTTTGATGTGTTTTAATATCAGGGTAATATTAGCCTTGTAGAATGAGTTTGGAAGTATTCCCCTCTTCTCTATTTGTCAGAAGAGTTTCAGTAGAACTGGTATTTCTTCTTTAAATATTTGGTAAAATCCAGCAGTGAAGCCATCAAGTCCCAGGCTTCTCCTTCTGGGGAGATTTTTACTACGTCTTCCATCTCACTGTTATTTGCCTGCTCAGATTTTGGATTTCTTCATGGTTCAATGTTGGTAGGTTGCGTGTGTCTGGGAATTTATCCATTTCTTCTAGATTTTCCAATTTATTGGCATATAGTTGATCATAGTAGCCACTAATGATCCTTTGAATTTTTGCAGTATTGGCTGAATGTTTTTTTCATCTATTATTTTATTTATTTGGGTGTTTTCTCTCTTTTGTTTTGTTAGTCTAGCTAAAGGTTTGTAAATTTCATCTTTTAAAACAACCAACTTTTTGTTTCATTGATCTTTTGTATTATTTTCTTCATTTCAATTTCATTTATTTCTGCTCTGATCATTATTATTTCTTTTCTTCTACTGATTTTGTATTTGGTTAGCTCTTGTTATTAAGAATTTTTGTTTGGGGAGGTATGAAGATGGCTGATTAGAAGCAGCCAGTGTATGCTGCTCTCAAGGAGAAGATACACAGTAGCCAGTAAACACAAGCTCTTCCACTGAATCATCCAGGAAGACATGTTGGAATTCATCAAGGGAGCACCATGACGCACAGAGAGCAGAGAAGTGCAAGACAGGACAGCTGCCCACCCAGGACTGGCAGGAAGACAAGGGGGGTTCCCCACCACAGGGAAATGGTAAGTCAGCAAAAGCCCTCAGAGGCTCACACTTATGCCATGAACCTTTGCAATCCTGGACACAGGAGACCACCCACAGACCCTCTATTCCCAAGGCCTCCAGACTGACACAGGCTGCCTGGAGTTTTCCGGGTGGGCAGAGTTGCCACTCAGGCACATAAGGATGCCCAAGGGCCTTGGACTCCTGAGCACTCTTGCACTAGCTACCATAGATCCACCAACAAGGGAGGCCAGACTCTCTCACATGCCCCCAGGATAGGGGCCATATTCATGGTGCTGAGGAATGGACGGACTGCAGGCTTTGCCTCTGCTACACCTGTCTAGGCAAAGCCCACTGGCCTGCGATCCTAACACAACCACACCAACCCCACCTAAGAATTCAGGCCAATAGCAGCTCTGCAATTCTTCTGGGATAAAGCTCCCAGAGGTAACTGATAGGCCTGACATTTTGGCCAATGCCTCTGCCCCCACCTCTACTACACTCAGGCTGAGAAGGGAGAGAAGAGCCCAAAATATTGCTGGCCTCCAGCACACGGCAGCAGCCTTACAGAGAAGAGGCCAGATTATTTTCCATGCAGGTCTCTGCCAGTGCTACTCCTCACTGGGCAGAGCTTCCCTACCAGGGTCCCCAGTACAGCCATCCTACCCCAACCTGAGCACTTGGGCTGGCAGCAGCTCTGCATTTCCCTGGGATGGAGCTCCCAGAAGTAATCAAGAGACACATCACTTTTACAATTACTGCAGCAAAACAAAACAACAACAAATCCAAAGGACAGCAACATCAAACATTAAAGGAACATCAGCCCACACATGAAAAAGAATGAGTGCAAGAACTCGGGCAACGGGAAAAGCCAAAGTGTCTTCTTACCTCCAAACAACCGCACTACCTCCACAGCAATGGTACTTAACCAGACGAAAGTGGTGGAAATGACAGACAAAAGGTTTAGAATATAGATAGGAATGAAGAACATCAAGATTCAGAAGAAAGTTGAAGCAAATCCAAAGAATCTAAAGAAGTAAATAAAACAAGAGTTGAAAGATAAAATTCCCACTTTAAGAACCAAAACCAATAGAAAGAGCTGAAAAAACATACTGTAAAAATTTCATAATATAATCAGAAGTACTAACAGCAGAAAAGACCACGCTGAGGGAAGAATCTGAGCTTGAAGACCAGTTCTTCCAATCAACTCGGTTAGACAAAAACAAAGAGAATAAAAAAAAGGAACAAAACCTCTGGAAATGTGGAATTATGTAAAGAGACCAAACCAATAACTCACTGGCATCCCTAAAACACAGAGAGAAAGAGATAGTAACTTGGAAAACATATTTGAGAATATTGTCCATGAGAATGTCCCCAACCTCACTAGAAAGGTCAACATTCAAATTCAAGAAATGAATAGAAGCCATATGAGACAGTATATAAGATGTCCATCCCCAAGACACATACTCACCATATTCTTCAGGGTCAATGTGAAAAAATATTAAAGGCAGCTAGAGAGAAGAAGCAGGTCACCTGTAAGGGGAACTCCATCAGGCTAAGAGTGGCCTTCCAGCAGAAATGCTATAAGCCAGAAGAGATTTGGGGCCTATATGCAGCATTCTTAAATAAAACAAATTCCAAACAAGAATATCATATCCAGCCAAAATATGCTTCATAAGCTAATGAGAAATAAGATTCCTGTCAGACAAACAAATGCTAAGGAAATTTGTTAACACCAGATCTGCCTTACAAGAGGTCCTTAAAGGAGTGCTAAACATGGAAATCAAAGACTGTTAGTGGCACCATAAAAATCCCCTTAAGTACATAGACTATTGATACTATAAAGCAACCACACAATCAAATCTGCATATTAACCTGCTAACAACATGATGACAGGACCAAATCTGCACATATCAGTGTTAAATTTGAATGTAAATAGGCTAAACGCCCCATTTGAAAGGCACGCAGTGGCAAGTTAGATAAAGAAGTAAAACCCAATTGTATGCTGTCTTCAAGAGACCCATCTGATATGCAGTGACATCCATAGGGTCAAATTAAACGGATGGAGAAAAATTCACCAAGCAAACACAATATGAAAAAGGGCAAGGGGTGCTAATCTAATTTCACACAAAAAAGACTTTAAACCAACAACGATCAAAAAAGGACAAAGAGGGACATTATATAATAAGGAGTTCAATTCAAGAAGACTTAACAATCCTAAATATATATGCACCCAATACTGGAGTACCCAGATCCATAAGGCAAGTTCTAGTTCTTAGAGACCTACAAGGAGATTTACATAAATACACAATAACAGTAGGAAACTTCAACACCCTGCTGGCAGTACTAGAAATATCATCAAGACAGAAAACTAACAAAGATACCAGGACCTGAACTTGACACATGACCAAATGGATCTAACAGACTTCTACATAACACTCCACCCAACAAAAACAGAATAAACATTAATCTCATCTGCACATGGCACATACTCTAAAACTGACCACACAATCATCCCTAAAGCAGTTCTCAAAAAATACACACACAAACAAACTGAAATCATACCAATCACATTCTCAGACCACAGTGCAATGCAATAAAAAAAAAAAAAAGAAGAAGTCAATGCCAAAATCTCTCAAAACCATACAATTACATGGACATTAAACAATCTGCTACTGAATTACTTTTGGGTACACAATGAAATTAGGGCAGAAACCAAAAAATTATTTGAAACTAATGAAAACAAAGATACAACATACCAGAACCCCTGGGACACAGCTAAAGCATTATTAAGAGGAAAGTTTACAGCACTGAAAATCCACATCAAAAAGCCTGACAGATCTCAAATTAACATCACCTTACATCACAACTAGAGAAACTTGAAAAACAAGAACCAACCAACCAAAAGGTAGAAGAAAAATAATAACCAAAATCATAGAGCAACTCAATATAACAGAGATGTGAAAAATGATACAAAAGATTTAAAAAAAAGTTGTTTTTTTGAAGAAATAAATAAGATTGAGAGACAACTAGCTAGACTAATAATGAAAAAAAGAAGATCCAAATAAACACAATCAGAAATGACAAATGGAACATTACCACCAACTACATGGAAATACAAACAACCCCCAGAAACTATTAAGAAATCCTCTATGAACACAAGCTAGAAAACCTGGAAGAAACAAATAAATTCCTAAAAATATATACCACCCAAGATTGAACCATGAAGAAATTAAAACTCGGAACAGAGAAATAATGAGTTCAGAAATTTAGTCAGTAATAAAAAGCCTACCAACCAGGAAAAAAAAAAAAAAAAAAAAAAAAAAAAACTTGGACCAGATAGATTCACAGCTTAGTTCTACCGATGTATAAAGAAGAGCTGGTACCAATCCTACTAACGTATTCCAAAAATTGAGGAGGAGGGACTCCTCCCTAACTCATTCTATGAGGCTAGCATCATTGTATATCAAAACCCCACAGAAACACAACAAAAGAAGAAAACTTCTGGCCAATACTCTGATAAACATAGATGCAAAAATTCTAAACAAAATACTAGAAAGCCAAATCTAGGAAAACATCAAAAAGCCAATCCACCATGACCAAGCAGGCTTTAAACCTGGGATGCAAGGATGGTTTAATAGATGCAAAATAATAAATGTAATTAATCACATAAACAGAACTAAAAACAAGACCCTATGATCCTCTTAATAGATGCAGAAAAGGATTTCAGTAAAATTCAACAACCTTTGTCGAATGCATAGTTTGCAAATATTTTCTCCCACACTGTAGGTTGTCTGTTTTCTCTGTTGATTATTTCTTTTTCTGTGCAGAATCTGTTTAGTTTAATTAAGTGCCATTTGTTTATTTTTGCTTTTGTTGTATTTGTTTTGGGGGTCTTAGTCATGAACTCTTTGCCTAGACTGATGTCTACAAGAGTTTTTACAATGTTGTCTTCTAGAAT